TTTAATTAACGTGAGAAAATACAGAAAAACGAATTATGTAAATTCCCAGTGCCTAAGATGACACATTTAAATGACTTATTTTTATTGTTGTTGTTTACTGTAATTTACAATTTGAATGCATTTACAATTTTGAGGTACTTTTACTTTGCTTGAGTATTTCTATCCACATTTATTAGACATCTGGTCACTTAAAAATATTTAAAAATAAATAAATAATAAATTGAAAATATTTTGCATGTCATGTAAATAATGGTGTATGGCTATAGATAAAACAGGTCAACCATGTATAGAATTGTTAAGAATAGCTCCACCTTAACAAACTGCAATGGTACAAAAAATGCTGCTTATACTTGCAGGGCTTTTTTTTTTTTTTTTTACAATGCAGTGTTGCTACTTTTACTCATGTAAAGGATCAGAATATTTTCTCCAACATCCAACAATTTTATGCAAACAGTCCAAAAAAAAAAGATATATAGTTAACAATCATGTATGACATAGAAAAACACCAGTTACTCATTAATCAGCTGATCATTTCTGTGCATGGAAGCAATGTAATTTTCTGTCTCTAAAAAGAGTGATGGTTTTGATCGACTCCGATAGCGCTGAAAGGATTTGCTGATTAATTGGCTGAAGGGTTGACGGAAAATTAATTTGATTGCCATTTATACGAGTCATTTATCAAGCAAAAAATTGTGAACATTTTCTGGTTGTAGCTTCTGAAAATGTGCTGTTTTCTTCTGTTTTTGTTGAATCAAAAATGGAACATATTTTGGCTCGTGGGCTGTTTGTACATCAGCCTTAGGCTCTGGAAAGCTGTGATAGACTATTTTCTGACATTTAAATCAATTTATTGAAGGAAAACCCCTCAAAAGACTGATCAGTGATGAAAACAATCCTTGTTTGCAGCATCACACTCGACCTTCTGCAGCCACACTAGGTGTTGTTTCAACAAACACAAGAAAACCTGGGCTCCTCTTGGATCCGCCCCAAGATGCTATTGTGTTTAGGCCACATTTCCTCCGTCTCTGCATCTGAATGCCAACACTTTTCTCTCGCCAAGTCTCCCATATGTCCACTCTTACTCCTTTGCACTTTGCACTATGGACTAGATTTTGGTGACTCATCCCACTGTGCAATATGTGCACATTCTTTTAATGTTACATTTGCATTTTCCTGTTGAGACACTCCCGGGTTTAATCTCGTTGAGTCATCCATTTGTGGGAAGTTATACGCCCTGACATGTTGATATCTAATTGTGCTTTAAATACCTCGTGTTCCGTCTTTTGTCTTTATATTAAATGTGAAGTAAAAAGGAAGAGAAATTGAATGAACAGGAAATATGGGGAGCCCATATTTTATACATCTATCGCTGTTCAGCGCATTCTTTCTCCTCCACCACATCATGTCACTGCGCTCATTAGAAATATGTTGACTCACTGCCTCGCACGCATCTCTACCTTCCCCCCCTCTCGTTTTCTCTCCCTTCTACCTCTCCCTACATATCTGTCTCTCCAGTGTCGCTCGATCACTGTCTCCCTCACTTTCGCTCCTCCACCACCCCCACCCCCCCACCCCCGCCTTCTCCCTCCTTCTGGTGGGTTGGCAGTTCTGAGGTAGTTGCTGTCTGCATAGCTAAGGGAAATGTCAGCAGTACACACAGAAAAATGGGTCAGAACATTACAACGCTCCCTGCACATGCTCAGTGGTTGACACACAGTGCCGGGGCTATATGCATGGAGTGAATCAGATCACTGTGTCCTCTTATATCCTCTGCCATGCGTGAATGTTCCCACTTCTCACTCCTGTCTTTTCTCATCAATTATTGACGGCGCACAACAGCTCACGGCTATGTTCACCACTGCTGCAATCAGTATGGTGCAATGTGGTGGTGGTCTGGACATGGAAGAGATAGAGGAGAGGAGAGATCGATTTGTTCAAAGTGTTGTTATGTTCACCAAATACCAAAAAAGGAAGAAAAAAAAGGAGAAAAAAAAGAGACACTGCCACGAATTTATCTTCCTTTCCTTCTTTGTCTTTCCTCATTTTCCTCTCTCTTTTCTGTCGTTCAGTCTGCCAGACATCCCACACCCGCATCATTTCCCCCCGCGAGTCTCGGCCAAACTGGGGTGGAAATAGAAAATAGACTTCTAGGCTGTCAGGGCCTTTTCGCTCACACACACACACACACACACACACACACACACACACTCACACACACATACATATGCACGACCACACACATGCCACACAAACTTGCCACGAGGGACTCAAATGTAAATTGCTTCCCCACACGCCTCACTCTCTGTTTCTCACACACACGCCTTGAGCAGGCCTTTGGGCAGATGCAGATAAGGCATGATAGAGGAGCAGCATCTGATAGCGTACTGTGGAATCCATCTGATCGGCTTCGGTAATAGTTTATAATAGTGCTCTGTCTGCCGGCCCTGCCCTCGTAAAAAGCCACGCCGCGGACCCACCAGTGTTTACCCCACAAAGACTTCAAAGTGCGTGTGCTGAAATCACAACAGACAGACAGATAAACTGTCTGTTTCCTTTGCCTTCCCCTCAGAGCTTATGCAACCCCCTCCCCTCTTCTCCTCTCCTCGCCTCCCCTCTCCTCTTCCTGTCCTCCTATTCTCTCCTCTTCAGAAGTGTGCCTCATTCAGGCAGAGTTAAAGCCAGAGCAATAAATAAGGCATATTATGGCCTTTTAACGTGATGAATAATGTAAAAACAATAAAAAGTTAATATATAACTACTTTACCCTCATTCTGCCATGCCTAAGTATATTGTAAGTATACTCTGGGTGTGTGCGTGTGTGTGTGCACACGTGCATCTGTGTGTGTGTGTGTGTGTGTGTGAGAGAGAGAGTCATGCGCTCTCATGAAAGTGTCAGTGTTGGAAATGCCTGTCTGAGTGTTTGCTGAAGGAGTTGCTGATGTAGATGTGAGCTCAGTTTTTACGACAGGACAGGGATACTGGCGTGTTTCACAGACGGTTGCTAACTTGTCCTTCCTCTTTTTGTGCTTTCATCTTCACTTCTGAGATGCTTTCAACACATACAAAGATAACCTTCTCTGTGTATAAAAGATGTATCAAAAGATAATAAAAAATAATCCTTGCCGATGCAGAGGAAGGAGTCATTGTAATTCAGCGGGTGATGCTCGCCAAGGCTGAGTTTCTGTGTGTTTCTTGTTTCCCACAGTTCCGAATGCAGTGAACCCTGTGGCGCCGGAGGCTCCGGAAGACAATGCCATACCGGAGTCCAGTCCCAGTCCGCCTGACCAGGGTCGGATTGGACCCGAGATACCAGGAAACCCTGGTGAGCAGATTGACAGAGCAACAGCACACACACACACACACACACACACACACACACACACACACACACACACACACACTGCTTCTGGACACTCTTTCCAGAATGCTTTCTAGTTTCACGAGTGCAAATATTTTAGTAAGATAAAGGTTTTTGAAATGTTAAAAAAAAAACAACAAAAAAAAAAACGAATATTCACAGCCTCAAGGGTTCTGCTAATAATTAATCACATTTAGCCTCAAAAGAGAAAATAGAAATTATAGTTGACTCTCCCAAAGTGCGTGTTCTCTCACATGGCTCTCTCATGCCGTAGGCGTTCCTCTGATTGCTGGGGGTCAACACGCTGAAATAGGTGTAGAACCAGTGTTGTACAGAATAAAATAATCCTCACCAAAACGCAGCTTGCAATTAAACAATACGGAGCCCCAACCAAAACAAATACAGCTTGCCCTGAGTCACTTCACTTATTCATACTTTACACAAAGGGTGTGCTGCATCCAAGGAGACTCAAAGACATACTTCTTTATTATATATCTTTTTACGCCTCATTAGAATTGCAGATCAATGAAGATTAAAAGCAGAGATAATTGAAGAAGTCACTTGAGCCTCCTCGGATGCTCTGGGCCCTCCTTGTTTCCTGTTTTCACCAGCACCTTTCATAGCTACTTCCCACAGGAGGGACCACTTTCTTCTTCTTCTTCTTTTTTTTTAGATCACTCCTTACACCAACTTTTTGACTTACTCCACAACTTTGTATCCCACAAACTTCCTCCTCCAAGTACAGACTGTTCTGCCTGTCCCAATGTGATAAGCCGTCCTCATTTAATAATTGCTTATTTGACATTAGTTGCTCTATAAAAAGATTTCCTAATGTCACTTTTCCCTATTCCGGGGCTTTTACCTGTCTACCATTGTTAGATCAGTGATTATGTCAAGTGAAGAAGTGGAGGGTGGAATGAAGGACGTGTCATTGTGGTTTGAGGGGCTGATATTTCAGGAATGAAATTTCTGACAGCCTCTCTTCGGCTCTCTCCTGCGCCCAGAATGTACAAAATTCCTCACGCCTCTGATTTCACCGATAAGACTGGAATCAGTAGCTTTCAGTGTTGTCATTTAGTCGTGATAAGGCAGAAGGCGCAGCTATTCCCCCCTCAATAAATGGTTAAGTGCAGAGTGGTCAGCCGAGTGCGGAGACACAGTCATTAGTGGGGATGGCAGTCTCCGGAGGTATGAAGCTTTTGTGTGTGTGTGTGTGTGTGTGTGTGTGTGCGTGCGTGTGTGTGTGTGTTGGAGGGGGGGCATGGACAGTAAAGAGGTGGTGCTGGTGCGGGTGGGGGGTGGGGGGTGGTGAGTCCAGCTCTTTGGCAGCAGCTGCATGCATACATGGAAAACAGATTTGGTTCTTCTCAGATTTCAGTCACTGGAGGAGCCAGTCATTCTCTCTCCCATCCAGCAACAGCCCCCCCCACCCCCCCACCCCCCATCCTGAACCCTTCAGACAAAAGGATAAATAAAATCAGATGTTCAGATATGCCCTCCTCTATTTTTTTCCCTCATATCTCACTTGGCCTTTGCCATACAAATGTGGCCTTGACATGTCATACGACTTGCCCACGTTCAATCTTATCAGAGCTAGAATCTTTGTTTTGTTGAGTGATGACTACAGATTTCATTAGGAGGCTATTTTGACTGAGCTAATTCAATTAGATTACATCAATGGGACTGTTAGTCGTGTAGAGCAAACAACAAACGGGGCTGTGATCATAGTTGATTTAGTACCAGAACAGTGAGATCTACATATGACACAGCTGGCTCACTGTAAATGTTATTACTCCTCTGATTGTCCAGCAGTCTGTAGGGTACCATGTGCAATATTTCAAAAATAATATTATTATTTATAATAATAATTATTCAAACTAATGTTGAGAGTACTGCCACTTTCTGTTTGGAAACTAGATCTGCTAAATAGTTTCTGTTTTGAAGAACAGGCGACTGTGCTGAAAGGCTTTTGCAGCCCATATTGTCTGCATATGGAAAAATAAACTCCACAAGAGAACCGTCTTTTTGATGTACATATTTGAGTTTTTTTTCATATAATAAATCTCAAAAATATAAAATAGAAATATGGGGTAAAAAAAAGGGCCCTCCCCTGTTAGACTACCCTCACTTCAGCAAAAATAAATGACAATACCTTCCTTCTCTGACCCTCCCTCCCCCCATAATAACTTTTCCCTAACCCCTCTCTCTTTTTATTTCTCTCTCTAGACCACATGAATCAGGACCAGGGTTCCTCGGCAAACTCGGACGGCTTCCTCGGATCCAGAGTGGCCATGTTCTCCGTCATTGGGGCCGGCTGCATCATCTTCCTCCTGCTCATCCTCCTCCTCGTCATCCTGCTCATAAAGATGCGCAAGCGCGCCAGGAAGAACGCCCACTCGCAGCCCCGCCCCTCGGCACTGTCGCTCAGCACGCTGTCCAATCCCAAACTGCCCGGGGGCACGGCTGGCACGGAGCCCAGTGACATCATCATTCCACTGCGGACAGAGAACAACTACTGCCCTCACTATGAGAAGGTGAGCGGCGACTATGGCCACCCCGTCTACATTGTCCAGGAGATGCCCCCGCAGAGCCCTGCCAACATCTACTACAAAGTCTGACACGCTCCACACAGCCAGCGACACAGCCAGGAGAGAGAAAGAGAGGAGCGCTTGATTTATGTTCTTGGGAAGAACACCTTCCTTTGCATTCTGGGGACTTGATGCTTCTTCAAGCCCCTGTTATTACTACCACCTGCTGCACAAATCTGGAGAGATACGCACTGACCAGTAACCAGCGGGGTTGCGAGCTGACTGATGAGAGGTTTATTCTGTTTGTTTGGGTCGTCTGACAATCCCCCCCACCCCCCC